GGCGTGTCACTGGCAGCATGTCTAGGTGGCTCCAATGGCGCGCTCCGGTAGCCAGACAAACGTGCTCGGTGTAATAGTCCCGGTCAAGTTGATCGCAAAGGCCCAAGACGCATGCATCGATGCAAGTTCCCTGTCCGACAACCCGCTCATCTCACGATGACAGACTCATACCAATCCGCTTAAGGTTCGTAGAACCAGTATAGGGCATCGCGGTCATTGGTGTATGCTTGGGCACGGCCGCATTCGAAGTTCCTCTCGCTCTTCCGGGTCGGGTTGGGTCGTGTGTGAACACTCGGTTGTATAACAGCCAGTCGCTCGGCGTTGTTGGAGTCAACGGGGCTCGATGGTAAACGTGACGTCGGGTCGAAAGTGAGTAGCGGCTGTTGGTCCATGTTCGAGAGCAAGTGGAGTGGTGTTTGGCCCTGAGTTGAAAGTACCTGGAGCCTATGGTGAGTCGGATGGTGGAAGCAGTGGTGGCCCAGTAACCGGATTTCGCGACGAGCCATTGCTCATATCCGGCCGGAAGTGTTGTTGCGCGTGGAAGTTTGGTCGAGGTGAGGAGTCGCGGAGTGTTGGGCGGTTGCGCCCGATCGAGTGAGCCGTTCACGCTAACGACTTAGCGTTCTCAGGTATGCGCGCCCAAGCCCAGGTGAGGGGGTGAGGCCGCGCAGGCCTGAGAACATACATCGCTAGTCCTGACTCCGATGCACTCGTGGACGTCGGCCTCGCTGGAACGTGCAGCACCAGCAGAGACGAAGGCACTGCAGGCATATCTCTGCCCGCTTTGCGGCGACGCATGTAGCAATGGCTATGTTCAATGCGGCGCCCAGTTGCAGAGCTGTCTGAACGCCCACCTACCCGAGCGGGGTGCAGCCTCGCAACCCAGAGGATAACCCCACAAGAGACGGCCCGTGGAGGAGCGGAATTTGAATGCTCATGGTGTATGAGTTCTAGCAAAGGAGGCATTGAGCGCTACTATTGGGGTCTTGCACGCAACGGTGGTGTCTGCGGCAGCTACTTCGAAAGACAGGCTGCCATAAGTACGTTGCCACTTCCACGAAACGGGGCGTGAGGGGAGATTATGTGAATGTCTCCTGCAATCGCATGTGCCAATCAAGCTAGATGCACGTAATGATTGCAATGCCATCGCTCGCTAGAGACAGTCAGGGCTCCGCCAATACCAACTCTGCTTCAAGGATCGGTACTAGCGGCGCATTATGGCTTGTGTAGCTGCTCAGTGAACGATATATGTATAGGTAGGGCTTCCAGTCGCATTGCAATGCAAAGCTAGAGTCTCATCCCCAAAGCTCGGGGATACTGGGTGTGTAGCAGGCCATTGGTATGCAAATTGAGTTGTCGAACTACCTATACCACATGCACAGCACCGACGCACAAAGAACCACAAACTGATAGAGAAAGAAGACCATGAGGGCTGCACAAATGGAAGCCGAGTACGACTGCATCCCTGTCACGATAGTTCGCCTCCAATGAGAATGGAGATAGCCGTGGCAGTCGTCTATGGTTGCAGAAGCTTTCTGCAGCTGTTGTCGCCCTGCGTGAGCAAACAAAGCAGACTGAAAGGCGGCTCCAAACGCCCAAGATCGACCCTGAATACGAGTAAAGAAGGATTTTGACGCGCCACATGAACAGCTCCGAGCGTGTGTAGCTCTGGTAGCGGTAAACGCCTCATCCCGCCCAAGGCAAGGCAGACACCACCTCTAGGACTGCAGGCGCGGTTGAAGCTTTCGGTGCTGTTGAAGGTGGTATTGATAGAGCGGGGCTGTCCTCCAGGTGCAAGGTGATGAACGTTGTGCAGCGAGACAAGAAGTACTTTGACAGTTTGACCTCTGCGTCGACTGTGAAGATGAACACCGCCTGCTTCATCGCAGTCAAGCGTGTGAAAGAATGATGGGTTATGTCCTCCGTGTGCTTGTAATTTTAGCTACGTCTGCCCTTGTACCTAGCGTGTGCTTACATGAGAGGCTAGGATGCCGTCCAAAAATGCCTGGTAGGGCGCTACTGTGTGAACGTCGTTCCCGATCACTATGGTGAGGTGATCTGGCGTGCACTGGAGATTTGTGAGGCGAGCAACAAGATCCCGTCCGTGAGCCTCGGATCCAGTGACCGAGAGGCAGGTGGTCAATCTTCCGTTCGACGCGGCCATGGTAGCGAGCCGGTTTGCGAGAATCTTTGCGTACGTCCCAGCATCAGTTCCTGTCTCCGCTCGTACTACTACCACAATTCCGTCATGAAGATCAATGGCGGTCAAGGTGCTATCTTGGATGTTATGTGTGGTACCAGCCCAGATAGGATCTGGTAGCACCTTTTCCTCGTAGAACGGTCGGGGCGGTGGGAGTGGAGACGACCTTGACATCGCAATTGATGTGATGAAGTGTGCTCGGCAAGCTGTTTCGAATCGACTGGATACGATGGAAGACCTGCCCGCTTCAGTATAGCTCCGTAAGACGTCTTTGAAGTCGACAGAACCGCAGACAGAAACGCAGACAAAACTCACTCGCTAATATGTCCAGATCTAACCGTCTGGATAAGAAATTAGATGTGGACGGAATGGTCACAAAATAGCTGATCCAGAGTAGCCTAAGTCGGTATCAGGTAATAACAGGTGCCGCGCTCCAAGATCATGCGTCACTGAATAGAGTGGCAGCTCGCGATATGAGATTATCGAGGGTTCTTTTGGTCGTGAGTGAACGTTACGTGTCTTCATCCCTACCTCTTATAAGAGTGAAGGATACGGTCACATAGCGACAAGTCTGGGCGGGGTGCTGACGGGGCGAGTCCGAGAGACAAACAATACCAGATGAAGCCAAACGGATCTCCTGCCACACAGTCACGGCACCTACTTCCAATCTCTTTGAATTCATCAATCACTATGGCGGATCAAAAGACTCCACCCAGCTTAGATAATCTCCAGGCAAGAAAGCCTCACCAGCGGTAACAACTAATGGCAGCAGGCCCTTGCGCAAACGATGAAACTGATGACAAGATGAGCTCGCACCGTCTTCGCAAGTTCTGTGGGAGGTAAGGCGGAATCCTAGTAACACGTGTCGCTGGAAGACATGTGCCCGTGCAAACACCGTCTTCTACCGTACCATTGGGCCTTTCCTCAGGACTGTCTATTGTCGAAAGGTGGTGTCATGTATGACACTACCGATCGTATGCTTGCGGATACGTCATCCAGTACACGTGCGTTTGCTCTCTTTCGGGAAAGCCGCAAAATACGTCCCGGGCGCTCTTCATCACAGAGAAGACGCGTACATCTCTGACCATACATCCTATAGCGCAATGTTCAAGATTAGTGACTCAAACTAACAGATGCATTCTCGTATTGGAAGCAGCATTCTCACTATAAGAATTGGCTGTCCGCGAAAAGTCCCGGAGAATACCAGAAAAACTGAAAAGTACCGGAAGGTCGCTACCAGATTTGGGAAACACCAAACTCGCACTATTACGTCTAGGGCTACCTTTCACGACACGATTGCGTCCATATGCTTGCTTACTCGAGGAGCCGAACGCCAATCGTGAACGCGTAGCTTGATCTCGGATGTCTGGGCAGTCGCAGCCATAGAGCGCTGATGAACCTCTACGCCATGTGTGTTAGCAGATTGCAGGGGCGATGAGGCCTGCGGCCTAGACAGGCGCGAACGAAGCTTCTTTCAATGACAGTGTGGCAGCCCAAGCGGAAATGCTGCAGACTTCGCTCGAGATAGCAGTATTGAGCCCGACGCCAACCGGCGGGGACGCTCATGCATCTAAGTACCAGGACGACGCTGGAGGTTCAGCTTGCAGTCGGTACAGGGATTCTACAGCACTGGAGTGCAGGAAAAGCTACGTGGTGGATATGCGATCAATGAGGCGTTGGGCAAGCACAGGGTGGTGGACGTTGCCATGGCGTGGGCGACGGTGGGATGGGTGTCGGTGTTGGCGTGATGTGGGGTAGCTTGGGGCGGCAGGGCGGGCCGATCGGCGGCATCCGAGTCGCGCCTGCCATGTCGAGTACGAAGACGCGTTGGCCTGCCCTCCATGTCCACAACGCCCGACCATGGATTGCCCGCGGTTCATTGCCGGTCGAGATTTATCGAATAACCAGGTCGCCGTTGACAATCTCACACCAAAGGGTCGCTGAGCTCTCACAGGCATCTCAGCGTCTGCAGTGATGTCACATCACCTGACCATCATGCGATAGCCGGTACACCTGAGGTACGCGCACAGCGCTGGCGATACTGAGAAGAACGCAAAGCTAACTGATGGCGCAGTACATTCCTATGGATTGCATGCCGGCACCTCCCTTTGTCTCTAGCCACGACGATCCAGAGTACGATGCGGAGGCCGGCAAAGAGAATGCATCGCCCAGACGACCGCCACGAAAGATGGACGCGAGATGCCGCGCACCCCCACCGAGCAGCGCAACGAGAACGCGGGACTGTGCCAAGCGTGCGACAGGCGGAACCCAGCGAAGCTTGTGTCGTACCCGTTCCACGAGCCCCCATCATTGCCAGCGTCGCTTGCGCCATGCGCACCCGAGTTGATGCGACCCCCGCTGGCGTCCCGGGTTCTCCGCTGTTCACGTAGCGACCTCGATGCTGGTTTCCCTCACGACGCACCTATCTACCCCAACACCCTCACATTCACTAGCAACAGGACAGACGAAGAAAGCAGCACAGAGTAAAGATGTGAAATACTCATGACATTTGTAACATACATTGCCTGGAACTCCATCACCACGCGCGCCTCACTAGCACCCGCCCGTCTATCCCAGTGAGCGCATTTCTCTTGTAATCCCCGCCCATTCCATATCGTCAAGGTCGCTCCCGTCTGCAAACACCCCATGGTCGCTCTCGTCTCTAGATTCGTCATGGTTGCCCTTGTCTTCAGAGTGCTCTGATTCCCATCTCTCTTTCTCCTCCAAGACGGAAAGGGTGCTCGGGCCTTGAAAGGTCGACGTACGAGATTCGCATGGGTCTTGTAAGCAATACGTAGAGTCAGGACTTACCATCGGTTGTTCTCTTGGACAGGCCGCCAATCTGCAGGAGGGCGTCCCTGTGTGTGGCCAGCTTTGCCAACAACTGGGCGCAACGACGCTCCGCGTCTTGCTGTGCGTTTTGTGCCACGAGCCTCTCACGCTTCTCGTCCACCACAGCAGCATCGCTTCTGCTAGCCTTGTCGCTCCATCGCTTGCACTCCTTCTTCCAGTGATCGATCTCGGCATTGGCTTCCTTGGCGGCAATCTTCCAGTACTTCGTTGCGGCGTTGGTGTAGTCCAGCGCGCGGTTCATGACATCAATGACGCCTGGTTCAACCGCAGATATGCTCGAACGCGTTGCTTTTTGGACACTGTCGGAGGTCCTCATGCGCTTGGGGTGAGGGGTCTGCGGCGACGCAGATCGTGGAGCAGGTCGCTTCGTTGAAGGCATGCTAACGAAGGGAGGCGTTCTGAATATTTTGCAATCTGATGGGACCCGAGAAAGTACAGTACAGATGGTTGAGCAGTGGACTGAAAGACCGGGGACGAGCACAACTGTAGCAAACGCCTTGAGGTAGGGGAGGCTCTATCTCTTGCGTCTCGTCAGGGCGCCCTTCTTGTAGCATGTATCGGACACCCACTACAATCGCCCATCGTTTTGAAACCTACTGGGGCGCAATATCTCAGAGTTAACGAGCACGTCCTGTGCTGCGACCACATTTTCCACCATCACCCCAATATACGCGCGACCCGTCGCATGTCTCTGGTGTGATACCGATGCCTCAGCCCCAAATTACTCTGCACATTCAGCCGGACTGGCTATACATCATGTTTGGAGAGGCTACACCATGGGTTGCCGTCGCTGTCGTCATGTCTCGGTTCGCTATTGGCCACGCCCCCAGTCCCAGAAACATGTTTGAGATAGCGCTGAATGGTTCGATTGGAAGAAGACGAAGGATCAAGATCCACGAAACAGTTTGCATGGTACCCATTCGTTGCCATGATGCTTCTCGTGTAGCGGTGGCCTGGTGGCGTTGATGGGCGTGCCTACGCCGATTGTTAGCGGACCTTGTGCTACTGTCCATGCCCCATCCCGTGGTGGAGACAACTTTCCTAGTCGGTCGATTTTACGGTTGGGATGAGCGTCGGTGGGTGCGAGATGCGGGAGATCCCCGTCGCTTCCTCACTTTGGTCACGGCTCAGACGCGCTTTCCGTCTGCGTCAAACGTTGCCTCTCCAACCCACTTCGCCCTTTCCCTTCGCTCCCCAATAATGTACTCGGGCAGGATGATCATGACCTCTTCTCTGGACTACCATGACACTAGTGAACTTAACGCAATCCGCACACTTGCTTCACACGTCTCAGTCCGCTGCCGACATTGGCTTCCAGACTTCCAGCCATCTAGACACAACACACACCTGGGCAGTTCGCGACTACGTCGTGAGACTGCATGCGTGTCACATCGGGACTTTAGCTGCAGTCCCGACAGACCAATGGAATGCTTTACCAGAACGCTGGCCCGCCATACCACCCCGACCCCTTCATCACCTTTCTTACGCGAATGGCGTTTCCGCTTTGCCATGTTCACTCAGGGACAACACCCTTAGTAGCTATCTCCGCGCTTGCCCAGGTGGGCGGGCACCGGTGCATGGACGCGGCTATTTGGCTCACTTTGCATAACCCATCACCTCGAACATGTGCCATTCGGACCCCATCAGTCAATCTCCAGTCGCCTGGTCTATGAGTCCCAGCCCCCACCGTTGCTGTTGTTTACCGCATCACGTACCAGCTCCACCGCTGTTTCTGCGAGCACGCGACATATCACTTCACGCCCGCGGCTCAGAACGCTGTGCAACGTTTCCCTGTAAGCCGCACAGACCCATGCATGGGTTCAGTCGACCCTAGAACTGCCGCCCACTGGCTGTCTTCCCGGGTACCCGAGAGCGGGCTCAAGGTTTGGGCGAGTCACACTCGCCATGATCTCTGCTTTCCAGCCACCCCAGCCCATGCCCCGACTGCCGCACCCCCACCTCCGTCCCTGGAATACCAGACACACAGCCACCACCCCAGAAACCAGCGCCTTGCATATTGAACAAACGACAACTTCAAGCCCAGCGCCCTCGTTAAAATAGTAGTGACACCTACATCCTGATGCAGGTGAAGGTGGCGCAAATCGGATCCGGAAGAGACGGCAACGCTGCTTCCATCACAGTCAATCCTTACAATGTATCAGCACCAGCACCCACTGCGCCCACGCCTATCACCGTGAACGTTCACGTGGCTATGCATGGTAGCTGCATGTCACCCGCAGACGGCAAACCCGAGGCGAATCTTCGGCACGACATGGCTGAACGCGCTGTAGGTCAAAGACAAAGTCACTGCGCAGCTGACCATGGTACCGGAAACCCGTAACAAAGACCACCCTGTCCATTGGGAAAGGGAACGAGGCTATATCCAGTAAGATTGCGGCGGAGAAACGCAATGGAGTCGACAACTCCTTAGACGTTTGGAAAACACACGCAAGCATCGTCATAGTAGACCGTTCTTCTTTGCTTATCTGGCCGTGCGGAAAGTCAGTATTGACGGCCAATATCATTTCCGTCGGCACATCCGCAGTTGCAAACGCCGGCGCAGGAAGCTGTCCGCGTGGTATCGGGCGCTCGCGCAGTGGTGATTTCGAAGAGACGGCACTCCTTGTCTTCTAGACTATGTCTGAAGAGTCGATTGTATTGTTCCAATATCATGGCCTCTGCAACGGCGTGGGCTTGTGCTGTCTTGCGAGCCCCTGGCATCTTCGCGGCGAGCTTATCATCGGTCCTAGGTCATGATAAATGTCACCCCATACGCAGGTACCTCTTGTACCATTGCCGAAACATCTCGTCCATCTTTGATCATCATCCAACCAGCCACTGTTTTCATGCCCTTCGACTAGGCACCGAACATGGACCGAGCCAACAAACTCAAGCGCTCGTCTTACGACTACCCTTCCACCACTCAACACACTTTGCCCCGCGAGGATTTCGTGGACAGTGATCAGCGACGGGCGCAAGACCACGTTGAGAGTTTCGTCCTTCGCGCCGGCAATGGTACGTCTTCCACGACCTTTGGCACTTTCATCTCATCTAATAGCACTTCAGGCTCGGCATCGACAACTCCACCCATACAAGTTCTCGATCGCAGGCCGATAGAACTACCAGACCACGTGGTCGTCGCATGCCCCTGGCGCATCCACCCTTCCGCGCGCGCATTTCCCAACGGTTCAAGCGACAAACAAGAGAAGATCAATCGATACCTCGATGAGCTGGAGGCGGCGGTAGCCGGAATCGACCAAGAGCTAAGGGGCTTTTACAAGGTGCGGTCTGACGGGCAGGTAGCTCCGTGGCGTCTGTCGCATAATGGCGGGTCGAGCTTGAGGTGGGGTTTCCGGACAGAGGAGACGCAGCCCCTCGAAGACCTCACGGCCGTTTCTGGTGGGCTTCAGGTGCTTCTCCGCAACGGAACCGAATACTGGGAGCCTGGCTTTGGGGGCACCATCGAGGCTGGCCACACCGTCTGCCCGATGGGCCCCCTCGGATCGTCGGAACCCGTTGATACTAGTCACCGAGAAACGAGTCCGAGGCACATTCCACCGTTCGCTAATCCCCCGTGGGGGGACAACGTCACCGTCCGCCCCGGCTCCAAACCAAAGCGCTCAGTTAGCGCTCCCTATAGATCGCCATATGGTGAGCTGCCTAATCATTGGGTGGAGGAGCTCAGCCACCCGGCTGGGTCGCATTCCCGCGCTGATGGAGACGAGCCTTTCGGCGAGAAGTCATATGCGCCCGAGAGATTAGTCCACCCCCATGAGAATGACTACGAGCTTGCCCAGTTGAGTCTCAACTCATGCAAGCTTGGTCAGACACGCCACGAAGAAGGTGAGCTTGAACAAAAGTACCGTCGGGAACATCTTCTCACTGGCATAGCTGTGGCCACGGTTGCCCTTCCACCTAGTCCCTCTGACGGCTCCGACGACGTTGGGTATGAGGCAGATGATGAGCCCCTAGCTGGCTTGCCCTTTGACGAGGAGTCTTTCTCGGACCCGGTTGTACCTGGGTTAAATTTGGATTGGGTTTTCCCGATAGAATCCTCCACACGGATCTTTGAAGATCCAGTGAAGCACGATCAAGGCCAATTCGTCGCCCACGTCTACGACGATGCTTCGATAAGCCCCTTCACCTCTGCACCCAGTCTGAGGTACGTGGAGAGGGCCACTGTTGAGGCGTCGACTTTCTCGGACTTCAACCCTTGCAAGAAGGTTAAAGCTTCATCCAACACCATCGCCTTGGACCTTCCTGGAGAGATCCAGGCGACATTCGATGTATTCGGCCGTCAGCCTGTTTGGCCTCGGCTTCCGACGCGCCAAGAAGTCAGCAACGACTATGTCGTGGACGTGTGCGAAGGCGCAGAGCAGACGCGCGAGGGAGCCAACTGTCGGCCGAAAGATGTCTTCTCTGTCATCCCCTTTGTCAAGTCCATCGGCAATGGTTTTGTTAAATCTGTTGTCGCGCGTCTTCATCACCACCCTCGGGGTCGTTCTTTTCGATCAAGGAGAGATGATAGTGCCAACATGAGCGGTTGCTGAGGATTATGACATTTTGAAGACTTGGTGAGTGTATTTAGCACGACATGGGTTCGGTATTCGGTTGGTCTCTGGCATATCCACGGGGATGGTGTTCATGTTGGAATCAAAGTCACTTCTTATTCAGGGCATAGACATTGTTATCATGTAGTGTGTGAGTTGACGCGCCATGTCATTCATTTCCTAGCTTGGGTCATCACCTCAAGCCTTTACATTTCTTACTTTCAGCGTGTCGTCAATGTAAAGTATATTGCCCTCGATTTTGAGCTTGAACTTCGGGTGGTATTTTACGGTTGCCCGCTTCAATATATCCTACTCATAGAGGCGTTGATGTATTTACCTTACGAGTTCCCGCTTCCCGCTTCCTACACACAGTAACGACCGTTTATGATTGAGCAATCAGTACACCGTGGTGTTGCCTATCCAGGCGGGCGCGAGGCGAGGGTCCAAATGCGATAGCTCTCAGTCAAATCCACGTCAGAACCACTCCTGCATTGTTGAGTTTTGTTCGTTAGCTACAACGTCACGTCGCGAGACCACCTTCACTACGGGCGTGCGCCCTCCGTGGTGCGTAGGTTGGACGATTTGCCAGTAGCCTGCCGTGACACCTGGCTCAGCACGTCGCGTTCCATTACTGCCGAAGAATATCCATCTTGCAATTTCTCCCCATGTTCAGATGATGCATGATCATCGACTTGCTCGCGCGATCAAATCAGGGAGTGTGCGTCGTCTTCTCCGTCGATGCAGGGTTTGCAGGCGTGTGCGTAACCAGACTGACGGCGCCATCGCGCGCGGAAACCGCGAGCCGCTCTTAAAGACGCGTCTTCTCAAGACGGGCGCGGGGTTGTGGGTGTGGTGGTGCTGAACTTGTTTGCGGGCGTCGTCGCAGGTCGCGTTATCGCTCTTCGCTTCGTGATGTGACGCACGCGCATGCCGGGTCCTTATCGGAATATCGCTGGCACGTTGACTTGACGGTGTGCGTTGTGGGCTGAGAAAGGGTCGACTATCAGCGCCAGCGTCGAAAATGAGGTAGTGCTGAAGGTGACGTCATTGGTGCCATGATGGGCCCTCGACGGGAGTACTGTCGCGTGTATAGAAATTACAGCGAAGCGGTAGTGACTGCGGCAAATTGCTGATATGTGAGACGAGCAACATCGGCTAGGCAATGGATAAGAAGGGAAGGGGTAGATGTTAAAAGAGGAATCAGAATGGATTGGAAGACCAACCAGTGCAAGAGGGCGAGGCGCCATAGCTGCCAGAAGCTCGGTCCTGACTAACTCACTCTGCCCGCGCGCTTGTGGCGCCGCCAAAACTAGATCCCGCTAGCGCTGCCCACTCCACACATCTACAGCGCTCCCCTGTCAGTGTGGGAGCGCTCGAGTCCAAGGTTTCTGCACCCCACCAGACATCGCTGCCGGCCCTGGAATAAACACGTGCAGGGTAGAATTCCTCATCAGTCTGAAACATGGACTCTATTCTTTCTCGGGTCAGGCTTCACTGCAACAAACGCGCGAACCCCTCCACGCAAATTGATCAATTCCTTCTTCGCTTTTTCTCGCAGAGATATCTCCTTGACCATCTGACCATTGGCTTCTGATGCGACCAGCTTCGCAGTCGTCTGATCCAATCGGCTGATCAATTGCCTACAACATCTCGCCCACCTTTTCTTTGATACTTGTAGTTCTGTGTTTGATGCGTCTTTCTTCTCTGTCATTTCGGACTACCCAAAGTATAGGCAACTATCAACCTTCACCACCCAAGCGGTCAAAAGCTCACGAACCGTTTGTTCTCTCTGCACTATGCACTTCCTGACTCCATTCCTCATCGCCCATGTTATGCCTACTAGAGCCAGCACTGAAAGACGGACTCTTCGCGTATAGCTCGAGACGGCGAGTGACGTTGGCAATATTCTTCTCAAGATCAGTGGTATCCTCCCCGATCCTACGCACCACCGAATCGACCCTACGTTTGAGTGATACCAGTTTCGGGCTGGGCGTCCATGATACCGTACCATCAGGAATTGGATGGGGTCTGATGTGCGACGTTGTCAGAAGATCTTCACAGCTGACGCAATGTTGAGGCTCAGGGTTGTCAATGCGACATTCGTTCCTACGACTAAGGTGACAAACACTGGGCGCAGATGCTGCTGGCCTCGTATCACCGTCCACAGAATCGCTATGCGTGTGATCGTCGCTGTTAGGGGTATTGGCGCGATCCGCACCCTCGACTGAAAGATGGATTGATTGGCAGCGACTCTCGCGTGCCGCTCGCATCATGGCCGTTCCGTACTCGCTTAGTTCGGCCTCGGATAGGTCTTTTGCATGGCGGCACGGGCTACGCGTAGTTGATTGAATGTTGCTTGAGTTGGGGCAGTCCGCCATGGCCACCGTTTGACTTGCAGGAGCTCTAAGTTCACGTCTGCGATCTGCCGAGGCAAGCGAGTGTTGGCGGGCAGTATTCAAGCTAGAAGGTCACGGTGATAGATCGTTGGAGACTGATCAGCTAGCATAATAACATGATTGCCTGGGACAATCATGTGTATGATTGTGAAATTGGCAATCGCACGGTACAGCACGCGACATATCGCGTACATGACCGTATGCGAGCGCGTTGGCAAATGGAGATGAGCAAGATAAGCGTAAAAGACCTAGCAAATGATCGACCTCTCAGAAGAGGTACATGGAGCTATTGTAGGAAGGCAAACAGTATCTGGAGAATCTTATGGCGAAAGACCTGAACAGCCCATGATGCACAGCGTCGACGTTTGCGTCGCGGAATTGCTGGACAAAGGGAATGACAATTCAGCTGAATGCCCAAGGTGTGAGCATCTTGCAGAGTTGGATGCGCGCGAGACGGCAAGAGTGCTGATGGTTACATGTGCTGTGGTGAAGGTGTGGGGTTCTACTCGAGCGGGATGCAGCTCCCACGCTACGCTGTAAAACGATCAAGCGCCCCAGAACCTTCAAACCATCACGACGTGCACGACATGCTGCCTACATCTCCTGCCACCGAATCCTGCGCGACTCCTGCGCCCGTTGCGCCCACGGCCGTAACTTCTTCCCAAATCTCGTTGCTGACTTCGATGTTCACATGAATGTGGAATGGTGTCTGGATCTCGAACACGTCGTCTTCGGCAAAGTAGTGTTTGCGTCAGCACTTGCAACACGTACCAAAGTTTATCTACCAACGGCATCAGCACCGAGCCGTATTTTCTCACGCCGTCCAATACTCATTTTCGGGACATCATTTTCCCTTCACCACACGCACACCATGTGTGGCCATCGATTTTCTGGCACGGTCAGGGAGCGCGTCATTACCACAACGGAGATGTACGACAACAACAGCGACCTTCCCCGTGCCTAACTCCGGAGCCGCAGTCGACTTTCTCACATCTCCTGCAACCTTGCTATCGAGCACAGGTTCACGTCACACGTGGGACCTGCGACAGACGGCCTATTGAGGACTCCAGCCTACCGGCGCAGCTACAACTTCGTCCACCGCAACTTGAGGTGATGTCACCTGCAGCGCATATATTCGATGGGCCTCCACCACAAACTTCTCGTCTCCGTGACGACTTCGCCAATCAGCCACGATGCCGATGCGAGCGAACAGCAGCCTAGCTGGCACCAGGAGACCGACGCCCTCACCTTGGTGGTCGACAGCTATGCTATCAGGGCGTCATCCCACGCCAGCACCGACCGAGCCTGTCTTTCTGCTGGCGAGCGCAGCGCCGGCACAGACTTGGCAACCGTCAAGCTTCCCACAACGCTCGAGGCTGGCAAAGACACAAACGATAAGGTCGGCAGCAGACCTATCTCCTCCTTCGCGACAAACGACCCTGTGACGAATGCACACGCGCAGACCACCGATATGGCGATCCATACAGACCAGTCCGCAGAATACGACATACACATACACAGGAATTATTTGCCAACGGGTCATGCAAATGACCAAATTGCTCTTCGTTTATTGATGAGCAAGTTGGCTGGGACAGGCAAAAAGAGCTAGGTTACTCTACTCTCTGTTCTTTCTGTTGAAGGCCCGACCCGCGCCTTGCCCACCGACTATGCGTCCGAAGTCGATGATATTCTGCGCGTGTCCTCCAACACATGGGTGTCTTTTCCGCTTCCAATGTCCGTCCTTGTTCACCATACTTTCTCCGGCACATACTGGGTATCAGGAACCGCGAGGTGATAGCGGGACCTCCCGCGGCAGGGCGCGCTTTCAAGAACATGAGGGCAGGATGCGTTTGCGGGCTGACAACAGCCGCGTGCCTTTCAAGCTTGCGGTACCCGCCGGTTTGTGGGCGACCCAAGTCGCAAGGCCTCCCATTGCATTCGTCCGGAGTCTAACTAACACTCTTCACAGCATCGCCCTTCACCTCGAACATCCAGACCTGAGCGCCTTCCCCGCCCATCTCCGCGTCCTCACCACATTCAGTTACTCCGCCCTGATCAAGCAGACTTCTTCACCAACACCAACCTCGATGCGCCGCCCAGCATGACAACGCCGCGTTGTACCCTGCGACATCACCCTTACAACGTAGATCATACACAACAAAACAATAGAATCGCAGTACAACTTGGTCAAGCATATGCAAAAAGCCCCTCGTTCCTTGATGAGCAGTTAGACTGCGGCAAGGGAAGTGGAGCTGGGGAGGTAGAGCGTGGGTTTGCGACAGGTACTAGTCCATCTCATCGCACGCAGTGCGGACAACTTGCTGGTTAGTTGGCACCCCGACGCTGGAAATGAAGGCTGAGGGCTCTGCATTCCGCTCACGCTTCACATACGGCACAGGGAAAGACCAAAAGCAACATGGAAGCATATAGGACGAAAGTTGACGGATTCGAGGCTTCGGTACATGAGCTAGGCGTTGTCGTCGAGGGAGATGTCTTGCAGATGGTCGAGCCCCCTAAGAAAACTAACACCAGTCATATGGCGAGAGCCGACAGCAATACCAACTGTTGCGGTAGCGAAACAGCGATCTGCGACGGGGAAGAGAGATCAGGCGGATCAGATTATCAAAGCCGCAGCAAGCCACTCGTGAGTCTGACTATCGCGACAGTGCCTTCCACTTTGACTTACACCTACTCGCAGACTGAACCCAGGCCCATTGAAGGGTTTCACCATGCGTACTAGAGCTCTGGCGACCCGATTGCTTACCGCGACGCGCACTTTCCCGGACGCCTGCTATGTCGCTTGCGATGAGGGAGTCTCCCGCGCATACCACGTTCGAGGCCGCAACCATGAATTACGTCTACCCTCGCCATGCTCCTCGGGATATAACAATCTCTTCCGTAGTTACACCCGCGGTGTCGTCATTGCTGGTAGCGCAGTCACGTCTCGAGGGGGAACCACCCGTCTGGCTCAACTGGGATTTCTGCAAAGACTAAGCGCGAAGACTAGTCAACAGCTGACTCAGCTTCAAACCTGACGTTCCCAATCTCTCTGGTTTAAAGTGTATCTTTGCGCAGGGTAGGGTCATGGATTGGGATAATTGTGAGCGGCTCGTTGGACTCGGCATCGAACTCGCGTTGAGGGAAGTGGCCTCCTACACATTGAAGAACAATTCCGGTGAGAAGAGCTTTGCGGTTGTCTCGGTGCAGACAACGTTCACTCGCTCCGCGTATTCAACCTTGTCTGCTCACGACTCTATCGAAAGAGCTTGGGAACTCCGGAACACGGCTTACTGGCGCTGCTCTATTTGAACATTGTTGACCATGTACACATCTGGAATTGATTATACATTAGCGGGCCTTCATGATCTGCCACCCGGCGCTTGACAGCAGCGATGAAGGTGAAGGTGGGAGCGATTTGGGGCTCATCGTCCTTCCTGACGCGTCGTCTGTCCACACTACCTTTTCCTTGATTGCTGCGACCATCGTCTTCGCCCCGCAAAGACTCCACAGAGACGTCTGGTAAGCGTAACACGCGCAAAGATTGGTGCTTCAACACACAGCCTAGTCAACTCACTCTTACGCCATAAAACTTAATTCCACTTCTAGCAAGAGCGCATACCAAAGCGCCTGGCGACATGTGTGTGCAGAGGGAGTGGATGAAGAAGGTCGATCGACGAGTGCCTGTTCTTGGTATGGTCACCGAGACCAGTGACGAGCGCCATACCGACGAGACTGATGAGAACAGTGGTGAGACGCGTGAGGTCGGTGGAGAATGGAAAGAGAATGACTGGAAGAGCATTGCCGGTACAAACGACTGTCCATGGAACGAGCTGGATTCCTAGACGGGCGTCGGGCTGCTCTCGGTCAACGATGCGCAAGTCCTGAAGACAAGGACCAGCAAGAAGTCTTTGCGATGACGCCGCGCAGTACACGTCATGCATTCAGTAGCCCTTCACGACCTCCATACCTGGGTATCGGATGATGTACGCTCCAGGCTCCTACCGAGTAGGCGTACTTGCGACGCTGGTCCGGACAGCATTTATCGCTGAATCAAACCATGTATCACGCGTCGAGACTTATAATGCTGTCGACTTATAGAACTGACCATTCGATCCACGGCCTTCCCACTGGTTGTCTTCATCTACCTCTCAGGCCGTAGGCCTTCGTCACACTTCCAATCGATCCAGATATCTCTCACATACCACCGAGACTTCCATTATCCGACATGCTAGCAGAGGGCGACCTGCTCTCGTTCTCTGCCCCGCGGTGGCCATGAGAAACAGGTCGCCAGGGTCCGCCCTCGGCGTTTGCAGCTCCACCGTGGTGAGCGGGAGCGTGGGACCAGAGGTGACTGAGGAAGCGCGTCTTGGCGTACAACAAGTCTCCCACTTCTTGCAACCAGTTGTTTGCTCATTCTCATTCTACCGTACACCAACGCCTGCAAGCCCGTAATCCTGCGAACAACGAACGACGAGACCGTCGCGATGAGTTCCGGAAGCGAGGCCACCGTGATAAAATCAGAGAACGAGCCCGCTGCGGTGCAACGCGCAACCCCAGCGAAATAATTTTCGTTGACCCTCAGACACCGCGTTCAAAAGGATTCGATGCAGTACGACCATCCCAGAGACCTACCGACGTGGGTAATGGGCCTCATGGCTATTGTCGAGGTCGAAGAGATCGATCCTCCCAGTCGAACCGGATCCGGAGATAAGGCTGACCCCTCTGCCCGAGTTGAGTTGAGTGACGAGGCTTCAATATGTAGCGATACCGACTCCTGGAATGAGCCAGCCTTTTGCTACGACGAGATGGAATGGAAGCACGAAGAGGAAGCCTCCAGCTACGGCGCTGATATCTGTGACGAAGCCGAGACCATCGTATCCACAGGCGACGAAACGGACTTCAAGGACCGCGTTGCAACGGATATCATAGCAAAAGCTGTGTACGAGGAGAGTGATAGCGATACGGTGAATCGCAGGTAAGTACAGCTGCCGACTCACTGTGTCATTGGCCTGGCTAATGACCCCCTCAAAGACTCGATCTAGATCGCGCAGACGATCTACCACAACGTTTAGGAGCCACAGCTTTAAGGTGGATCCAGGCTGAGGTTCTCGCGTGTCTTCTATCCTCCCGCAAACGCACATGTCCAACGCCGCCTGCCTCAACACCAAAGACCCCCGTGTCGATCAATTTAACGTGGTGGATACAATACTGAGAGTTCAGACTGGCTTTTGAGACCACATACGACTAAGACTGCGCGGAGACCACAGGGAGTATAGAGAATGGCGAGGATATACCATCAAGGAGGCGTTGCTGCTCACCATTCCAGACCATGTTGGTTCCCAGGTGGACTACCAAACCTGCGTTTGCCGTTTGCGTGTTCAGCTCCAGGTTATCATGGGACCAAGAAAGACTCGAGCCAGAGATGATAAAACTGGATAATCGAGAAGACCTCGCTTCGTTCTTCACCCTCAAACCATACTCGATACCAATGAAGAGGAGGAAGAGGTATGCAAGCTCAAGGCGTGGGAGCGTGATACTCTTGGGTTGGAGGAGTGCGAAAAAGTGCAAACCCAAGAGCAAGAAGCTGCTCAGGTAGAAGGTATTGACTTTGTCAAGGCTGGAGGTCTCGGAGTGGTCAAAGCCCAGGGAATCAAGGTTGCCAAAGTCAGTCTTAGCCAAGAGTGATTACGCTCCTAGCACGTATATGTTGTTAACTCGCTTATATGATCTACCAGACTTGATCACAGTCCTCTCTCCATGCTTGTCATGGACCTTGCAACTTTAAAAGAGCGATCTCCGACGTTAGCTACCGTTACAGCAGCACCCACCCAGGCTCTTTTCCCTAGATCAGGAAGCTATACGCGGATCCGAGAACCAATGCAAGAAGCAGCAGGTCACGCCGAAGAACCAACGTACCGAGGACCCAATGACTGCCCGAATACGTCGTACCAGCGACATGACAACCTTGATTACGACACAGTCAACGACGTCTCGCAGTAAGTTCTTTCAAGAGTTCTTAGTAATAATCCGAGTTCTTTCCACGGCTTGCACTACCCCATAGATCTGTCGTGGTCCACACGGGTCCATATGCCGCCTTCAGACAACCGAAGGTCCGCGCCATTGTCACGCAGGTTTTCTTAGACCGTCAGAATCTAGAGAACTCGAAGAAAGATCGCGTAAACATACCCATCTTGCCTAAGCCCTCACTCTCCATCGCAAATGAGAAGCCCGTTTATCTGAATTGGGAGTATTGCAAGGAATGATGGGTGTAATCATCTCGAATGACTTCGCAGCAACGGCGCAGCCCCAGTTGTGTGCTGGAATTCAGGACACTACACCCGCTGGATATTCTACATAAAGAGTCTTGAAGAAACTATGAGCTCTTGTTTTGGAAAGATAAAGAGGCATGTTGTACAGTCCGAAGCCGGTATCTTGCGTGGGCTTTCTTGCTGCCGACAGAACGCAGACACCGAGACAGTAGATTAGGGTCCAACATGTCCGCTGAGTGCTAAACCGATCGCAGTATTGTCTAGCTGTTGTAGCGATCTCGTCAATAATGAACAACCATTGCGGTGTCAAGGCGGCCATAACGTATACGATCGTGTCGAGCTAAGCGACCAATGGCCTGCGAAGATCAGCTGAGCAATATAGTAGAGGCAGCGGCGGAAATACTTACGAGGTATGAACATAATTGTCCTCGCAATCATGGCCTTTCGTCTTGATGGTAATGCTCTCACAACCAGTGCTTTCCTCCTCGTCTCCCCCAATAATAGTGCCGAGCTTCTTCAGCTGGCGCTTGAAGTAGCGCGTCTTCCTGTACCACCAACGCTTCATCTTTCGGGAGTTCTCGGATGGCACTTGGGGGCGAGGGCATGTATCTTGATCTGCAGGGTAATGGTGAACTGCCTCGCGGATCCGGTACGTTCCATGCTGACGTCGTGCGATGTCTTCTGAGCTGTATATCTGTGGTAGGGAAGATGGCTTTCCGTGAAACTAGGATAGCAGCGCTTACGCAAAATGAATGAAATTTCCAAGTGTGGAAGACCTCAGTTAGTAGTCGCTTCCGCAATCACTTTCACCATGAGTACGCACCAAGCGCTAAACGCCGGCGGCTGATGGTGTTGGCTCCAATAGGTCTCACTTCCTGGGGTTCGAAGCGGGTGTGATTAGATTCGCGCTGAGATAATATTCCGCTGAGAAATTTGGTCGAGCTCAATCGTGATGCACGTGGGCACTTGAATGTCGAAGGAGGAGAGATACGGGCGTCGTGAGATGGAAGACATGAACTCTCGATATTCCATCTACCTGCAGGCTAGCGTGAACGTAACAGACCGCGGGACATCTTCTAACATTTGTACGGCTAATGCTGCAACTGCTTCAGATTTGATGCAGACCTCCAAGTCGATATAAAACGTGATGGCGATCCGTTTGTCTCGGCCGACCCGATCGCGGGTGCCAGAGAAGCTTCTGGTATTCGATCTTGGATGGCGAGACTAATTTTGGACTTTTCGTTCCTAATCAGCGATACCGAGCGATTCAGGCCGCTGTCAATGAGGCGCTAATTTCCGCCGCCCCCCCAATCTCACAGGTAGAAGTGAAGGTGAGAGGGACGGTGAGCGTGGAGAATTGTCTGTCACAACGATCTTTTGCCAAATCGTACTGGCCAACATATCGCACTACTCCGACTCCTCCGACTTACCACCACTCTCACCAGTTCCGCGCGACGCGTCGCAGTCCCCTCGGCCTGTCATCCTCATCTCTTTGATCGCCCACCAAAGCGCAGCATTTCCGAGACTCAGAAATCGAAGTCTACAAGGCCCCAACCCAAGCGATCGTTCCACTCATTTAGACCAGGAAAAAGGCCAGGTTCGGGGATGAGCATTGGTCCATTCTGTAAAGGTTGTCGAAATCGCAGGCAAACGACAAGGTCAGAGCGCTGCGGAACGTTGTCGCAGGGGATGTTGTCTATCCCATCTACTGCAACACTGACGCTAACTTGCTCTTTTGCGTGGTCCAGTGTGACCGATTGAAAGCATCAGGGTGAGCGTGGGCACACACCGAGTGCGGAGAAGAGACATTCCAGCATTGGGAGTTCGAAAAGCAGAGGAAAGACTTGTGCAAGCGGCGGTCAAAGAACTGGCGAACTGTGGACGGAGGAATAGTGCATTTAGCAAACGCGTCCTAGTGACCTCGATTAGGTGGCTCGGTTGCGCTGAGTTGGAAGATGTCTTGGTTTCGATATTACAATCGACTGGCGAGTGGGCAAGAGTGACCCGGACCTTGGAAGCGTCCCCTCCTCCTCAACCGCGTGTCCTTTAAATAACACCCTCATAATTTTGCTCGTTGCTAGCCGCAGAGACAAAGTCAAGATGACCAGTCTCCGAGTACTTTTGACAAGAGGTCGCGCAGTCGGGTCTGGCTAACGTCGATAGGCTTCTACGCTCGATTTCAATAGTCTTCCCCCAGTTTGATGATGCAAACGCAATGGCGACTCGTGGACAAAAGTCCGAGACGGTGTGCTAGGTGAGAGAGAGAAAGACTGCGTCGCTACAGGTGATTGTAGATTTCGAGACCCATGTGAATGGCGGTCTGCCGAAGGCAGCTGGAGCGAGAGCATTCGGGATGTCAGTGCGTGGACGGGTGATGCAAGGAAATGCACAGTATAACGATTAGGTGCTTTCTGTTTCTGCTCGGGAAAACAGAGGCGTTGGTGGGTGAAGCCGCCAAGTGCGCAGGACAAGAGCTTCCAAGTCACCTCGCCTTCACCAATGACGGAATTGCTCGTTGATGTAGTATGTCCGGCTGGCACGCGTACCGACATGCCAGTCTGGGCGACGTGGTGCGTCCTGTCCTCTATTGCACGTTTTCAAACTAAGTCACCGCGTTGCGCAGCTCAAGTATAACCAACTCGGTAGGCGCCAGGGACGACAGCGGAGATCGCATAGGTTTGCAGCAGATGTCCATCAGGGGATGTAGCGGAGATGGTAGAGAATGTCGGATCGTTTTTGTCAGGGCAGCATACCCAAGGACATACGTCAGCCAAGTGGAGGATTCCGAGTGATTAGAAGAGAGTTACTGGAACGGGAGCACGACGAGCGCGCGAAACTATAGCAATCAGCCAGTGATTGTGGCCGGTAATGGCGGCGTCAGAGCAATGGAAAAGTATGTGTAGCTGGTACAGCCAGCGCCCTTGACGTCCAAAGCAGCCAGTGAGGAATCTTCGAGCTTATATATCAGACAGCGGCCTGGGTCAAAGGCGACGATGGCTAACCCGAAATTTGACCGTAGTTCGAGGGGCGCATTCGTGATGGCAAAGCTGCCAGAATGCGGCTGCAGTTGGGCAGGATGTGACACCGAGGACCGCGTGTTTGAGGCGGTGGGGCGATAGCTTTCAAAAGGGCATACACTACGTCCGAGGCTGACGCTGACGCTCAGTAGAGTTGGCGCATTCGTCAGCCAGGCTCACGCTGTAGATGTCATGCCCAGATCACGACTGACCTTTGTGGGAGTCCGTGCTCTTGGCGCGTCATTGTGGTGCTGCCGGTGGGCATTCAATGGGCCGTGGCTACTGGATTGAGCGAATCTAGGAAATGCGCGTGTTTTGTCGCGGCAGCGGGTAGGAGGAGAGCTGTGTCGGTGCTCGTGGGCATGGCGAGGGCGGGCAAGTTGGCTGCGGCGTCGGCAGTGTTGTGCTTGGAGTCGGCACGGCATAGCCGCGTCTCACGGGCGGGGCTCGGGCGGGGCTCGGGCGACATCAGACGACAGACCATCCCAACCTCACGATGCACTCCATGAACTTGCGAATTGTGGTGCATCGAGCGTATAACGCCGTTGTGACAAAAAGAAACTACTAGCTATACGTCCTCAACGTACCCACAAAGATCTACATGAAGGTAACCCCACCAATCTCCTCAAACGAGCCTGATTCACGACTCCTCAGATTTCGCATCAGGCTAACTACGATGCGCTTTTCCATCATCAGTCACCCTCTCCGCAATAGAGACTCTAGGACTACCCCAGATGTCTGATGCATCTGAAAACAGTTCTAGCAGCTCAGACAAGAGTCGCTTCGCTGTTTCTTCCATAATAGGACGACGCAACATCATCCGGTCGGTAAGAATGGCCATGCAGTCGTCCAGATCTTCCAGAGTGCCCTTGCTAAAGACAATGTATTGGATCGAGAAAAATCCGTTTTGAGCGGTATCTTGAAGTCTGAAAGCGCGGTGAAACGCGGAAAAGATCGTCATG